CCTAAACCCTAGATAATAAGCGACTCCAAAAGGAATCGAGCAACATTAAAATTGATTACAAATAATTACACTCAGGTGATCTTCATCAATAGTTTCATATTAGGGTTTAGGGTTTAGGGTTTAGGGTTTAGGGTTTAGGGTTTACGGGCCCCTCAGCAGCCCCAAACCCTTACAGGGTTTGGGGCCTCCTCGCTCGGGGCTGTGAGTTGCAAACCCTTTATAGAAAAAAGCTGTTAAAGCAGCAACAAAAACCTGAATCCAGAGGCTGACAAGGGTTTGGAATCTAGGGTTTAGGGTTTAGGGTTTAGGGTTTAGGGTTTGCTGCCCCGCAGGGACTTCGGGGGCCCCACACAGCCGCCGAAGCTTTTTTAGGGTTTTTATGTTACAGGGGTTTACGATATTTTTGCAAAACCACAAACCCTAGAACTGAAGAGCTCAAACCCTAAACCCTAAACCCTAAACCCTAGACCCACATTAGGCCCTAAACCCTAAACCCTAAACCCTAGAACCTTATACCGTAAGCATTACTTCTACCAGCGCCATGCGCGCTGCAGGAAGCTGCAGGGAGGCTCTCAGCAGCAGCAGCAGGAGGCAGCAGCAGCAGTAGCAGCAACGGCAGCAACAGCAGCAGCGGTAGCAGCAGCATTAGCAGCAGCAGCAGCAGCAGCAGAAGCAGCAACAGCAGCAGCAGCAGCAAGATGGCTGGGCGTCGGGCGGCTCGGCGGAAGCAGCGGCAGCGTATGAGTGCTGCAGCAGGTCGTTTATCTGCGAGCACCAGCAGCAGCAGCAGCAGCAGCAGCAGCAGCAGCAGTTCCTCAGCAGCAGCAACAGCTGAGGGCCCCTCAAGCATTGTGGTTCGTCGGGGGCGTGTATCCCCCCCATGCAGGCAGCTGGTGAGAGATTGGCGGTTTGTTGTGGGGCCCCGGGTGTCTGTACACCTCAGAGAAAGCAGAAAAAATAAAAAAAAAGATTTTCAGCATGCAGCCAACTGGCTGGGGGTTTCACATCTACAAACCCTCACACAAACAGACAATGGTGTTTATCTTAAAATAGCTAAACTACCCAGGGGACCAACCATCACCTTTCAGGTAAGAAAACCCTAAACCCTAAACCCTAAACCCTAAACCCTAAACCCTAATTTTGCTCGCAAGCAACAAACACGAACAAAAAAGACAGAAAAAAACTAATTCTTTATATCTTTATATGTAAAGTGCAGACTCATTAACTCTAAACCCTAACCCTGAACAACAAACCCTCATAAACCCTAAACCCTAATAACAAACAAACCCTCACAAACCGTAAACCCTAACAGGCAACAAACCCTCGCCAGCTGTAAACCCGCAACAAAGCTTCAGCAGTCTCTATAAACCCTAAACCCTAACGAACAGCAAACCCTTCCTCTGCATCCTCCTTTGTGCCCTACAGCAGCAGCTACACTGAAGCAGAAGCAGCCACGAGGGTTTAGGGTTTAGGGTTTAGGGTTTAGGGTTTGTGAGCTCAGGTTATGAATTTCTCCTTGATAAGCGATGTCCAGCGAGAGGTTGCTGGCGCGCGGATGGACCCAAAGGACCTCCGCAAGCCCCCTCTCCTTGTCTTAAGCAGCAGCAGCAGCAGCAGCAGCAGCAGCAGCAGCAGCAGCAGCAGCAGCAGTGGTAGCAAGGGTGCTGAGGGTTTGGGGAGGCTGCAGGCGCTGCAGCTAACCACCTCCATGCTGCGCTCGCTCTTCTCCCCCGTAGACCTCCGCACAGCCAGGGTCCTAAACCCTACTAAACCCCACTAAACCCTAATAAACCCTAATAAACCCTAATAAACCCTAATAAACCCTAAGCCCTAGGAGACCCAGCACCCTGTATAAACCCTTAGCAATAACAAAGACGAACACTTGATGGTTTTGAATCGGCATTTGCGGATACTTGCGTCTAGGGTTTAGGGTTTAGGGTTTAGGGTTTGTGCGCGCAGCTGAACGACTTTCGTCGCGTTGCATTTTTCCGTTCTGTCTCTGAGCAAGAGGCCAACAGCAGCAGCA